GAACTTTCTTGTTATGATCTGACTTTCTTTTTGGATTCTCCTTCTGAAGCTTTGGACAATCACTCTTGTAGTGCCCAGGTTCTTTGCATTCATAGCAAACAACCTCTCTTTTTCCAGATTGTCTGTGTCCAGAGGATTCTCCAGATCTTCTGTATCCAGAATGTTCTCCAGATCTTCTGTGCCCAGAAGATTCTTTGTGTTGATATGGTTTTCTAAAGTTCTTGAACTTCCTTTGCTTATTATTCCAGAGTTTAATGATTCTTCTGGATGGCAAGGATATTTCTTCTTCATCTTCAGAAGCAGACTCTTCAGATCTTTCTTCTAATACCTACAATGCTTTAACAACTTTATTAGATTTTAACGCAATTGACTTACCTTTCTTTAGAGGCTCATCTTCCTCTAGTTCAATCTCATGACTCCTTAGAGAACTGATTAGTTCCTCCAGCGTAATCTTGTTCAGATCCTTTGCCAGCTTCAGAGTAGTGACCATAGGTCTCCATCTGGTTGGCAAGTTTCTGATTATTTTCTTGACATGATCTGCTGTAGAGTAACCCTTGTCCAGAACCTTTAGGCCAACAGTGAGAATCTGGAATATGGAAAACATTGCTTCAATAGATTCAGATTCTTCCATCTTGAAAGCTTCATACTTCTGGATCAGCGCCAGAGCCTTGGTTTCTTTGACTTGAGAGTTCCCTTCATGAGTCATCTTCAGGGATTCAAATATATCAAAAGCAGTTTCTCTGTTGGTTATTTTCTTATACTCAGTATGAGATATAGCGTTTAGCAATATAGTTCTAGCTCTGTGGTGATTTCTGAATTCCTTCTTTTGCTCCTCAGTCATTGATTTTCTGTCAACTTTCTTGCCATTCCCATTAGTGGGATGAACATATCCATCAATGACTAAGTCCCAAAGATCAACATCAAATCCTAGAAAGAAACTTTCCAGTCTATCTTTCCAATAATCAAACTTCTCTCCATCAAACATGGGAGGTTTTGTGCTGACTCTTTCTTCATATTTGTTGTTGTTGGGTGTTTGAGTTTCAGCAGCCATAATGTATATCAACCAAGAGTATCAAGAGTTTTTCTCGCTGGATCTTTTCTGGTCACGATTAAATGATAGCACAAACAGAACCGGAGCTCTGATGCCAACTGAAGGTGAGAAAAACACTTAGAAGGGGGGGGGGGGGGTTGAATAAGAGTTTTTAAGAAATATGTCTATAAAAAGAACTCAATATTTTTATCCTGGTTCGTTGAACTCAACTACTCCAGTCCACCTTATCAAAGATGATTTGCCTTTCTCTGCAAGGACTTAATCCACTATTGATCAACTGATTACAATAGAAAGCACTAAGAACAACTGTCTTAGTCTTCTCAAGAACTACTGACCACACCTTGGTCTTCTTAAGGAACTTCTTACAATTTAATGTAAACTAAGAAGTGTTTGAATGCTTCTAATAAGATGTATCACAACTGTGATGTTTACACTTAAGATTAAGTACAACAAAAACTATGTGGTTTTATGAAAGATTAAATGAGTGAAATCTTGAGAGATTTTATCTTTTATGAATTAAGCTTGTATTTCTTTCTGAGTGATCTAGCAATGAGCAAAAGATGAGTAGTGAATTAGCAACCTCAAAATGTTGAAGTAGTTCTCCTTTTATAGCTTTTTCAAATGCCTTGAGTGATGTGCAGCTGAATATAATATTTTGATTGTATGAATTTTCATCACCAAAAGTATGGGCAGAGATATACTTTCTGTAAAAAGGTATGGTTGTAGAAGCCTTGGGATTTGCACCACGTCACTTCTTTGGACAAATTAGCCGTTGGTTACTTTGGAAGTCGCACCACGTCTAATCAAGTTTAGAGCTTCTTCAACAAGCTTCCTTCAAGATGAAGTCTTCACAATCTGCACTTCAGAACTTGTAGTAAGCTTTTAAAAGGTATGAAATGCTTTAAGATGATCAGAGCTTAAGATGAATGATAAGTCCAGAGTCTAGATAGATGATCAGATCTTTAATGTATCATAGTCTCAGTCTTGATCAGAGTTTTCATCAGAGTATGCAGCAGTATGTGCTTTGAGCGTGAATATTAATGATAAGAGTCTGGTTATCAAAGCCTCTGAGTTTACAGTGAAGAGAACTTCAGAGTCTGATAAGATCAGAGCTTTCAGTTTTTGTAAACTTCTTTCATTAACGCTTCAGATCATTCTTTAGCTTCTGCTTCAGATCCTCTTGGCAGTGCTTCAGAATCTTCTGATAGTCTTGCATATGATGCTTCAGATCTTTGCATAGTTTCTTTGTACTTATATATTTTGCTTCTTTTAAGAGTATTTAATTTTATACCTGAAACAATAATATTTGAACAAATTTTAGAGTGTATATTTACTCATTACAAAATTCCATAAAAATTATCATCAAAATATAGAGATATAAGAAACACCAATCTGTATTCTAACAATACGCTCCCGCCGAGCAAGACGGCGTGCCTCGAGGCACCCTTAGCACTCTCCCCTCGTCGGGCAGAATAGCCCTCCTCGGGCAGAATCCCCATACCGTCGAGCAGGACAACGTGTTTCCTCCACGCCCTCGTGTGCTCCCCTCCGCGGGGAGAATGACACACCTCCGGGGAACCCCGCGAGCTCCCCTCCGCGGGGAGAACAACGTGCCATGCGCACGTTCTCCACATGCTCCTCTCCGCGGGGACACGTCACCAACCAACTGTCCACCTCCGAAAGAGCAGGTCAAACCCACTTTCTGGAGATCAAGGGACAGTTGGACTAGGGCGAAGACCACATCCTGGTCTTCACTACGCCACGTAAGCCCTAGCAGTCACCTGGGTTGGGCCTGACAATCCAGCCCAACGCAAGTGACCGTTGGCCCAGCGCTGGGGTCTCTCTATAAATACCCTCTTTCACAAGAGGGTCAGGTAATTCACTTCTTACCCCATTTCTGTACTTTGCTCTCACTCTGCCCAATTCCTTACTTTAGCATCGAAGTGTCTTGCAGGTACACCCCATTTTCTCCTCCTCATCACCGGTGAACAGGTAGCAGTCCAACAACGTGTGGCCAGCCCGTGATCCCCTTCTGATCCGGTCAGATCAATATACATATAAATCAATTTAAAATATTTGAAATTAATTTATAATAATTAAAATCTAATTAACATATTTCATCACTAATTAAAATCTAATAACATATTTCATTACTAATTAAAATATAAAAAATAATTTAATTAAATTAATTACGTACATAAAAATAAATTTAAATTATTTTATTACACTTACAAAACTAATTAATATATATTCATTCTTAATTTTTGTATTTATTTTAAATATATTAATTAATATTAATTATATTTATTATTAATATTATTTATTAATATTAAATAAAAAATTACGTAACACAATGCCGCCTATTCAATGAGCGGTTGCATTGTCATTTTAAGAGGGACTGCCAATTCAACGGGCGACAACTCTATAATTATATTTTTTTTGTTTGTTAAAAATAATGACATATTAGTATATATGATTGGAAATTATGACATTGTAGTTATTTGTTTCTAATACTATGACAATGTTGTAAAAAATTTCAACTTAAACCATTTTCAAATGCATTTTTTTGATTCAAACCTTCGACTATTTGGCTAGAAGCATTTTATTAAAACTTTAATCAAATAATTTGATTTATGCATGCGTAAAACGATTAAACGCTCAATCAAAAAATGTGCTACTATCATGAGAAGACTCAATTACGACGAAATAAATCAAAAACTAAATTTACAAGCAACAAAATACAAACGGATAAATTTTAAAAGGCAGAGGAAAATTCAAAGGTAATTAACAAAGGAAAACTTCTCTATTTTTAAAGAGAGACAAATTCAAAAATAATTAACGACAAAAACTTCTCTATTTTCAAAGATGTCTATGTTTGACTAAATTTTCTGTAAAGTGCACGATTCCTGGCTGAAATAATTCGTTTCTAAATCATATTTGACAACTACTATATTAATTTATTGGTAATATAAAAGGTTAAATATATTCATATTTTAATGTAAAAAAATATATACAAGTTAACATTTGCTTATGCAAGGAATAATAATTTGCAGAAAAATAAATATATTAAAGTGTTTAATTACACCAAGTCAATTTTTTTAGTGACATATTCTTTTTAAAGTTGTTAATTTATAAATATCTAACTACTTAATAAATTATACATATAAATATGCTGTAAGAGATTAAACCATAAATCAATTTAAACCAACAATTTATACTTACTTACACATTCATTCCATCCCATAATATTTATCACATTTAAAAAAAAATTATCTCAAAAAGTTGGTCACATTTACAAATTAACTTTATTTATTATTTATTATTTTTGATATCATATTTTTTTTATAATACTCTCAATGACTAAATTACATAAAAGCTTGAGTATATAAAAAGAAAAAAGAAAACATTGAAAATGATTAAAAAAAAAAAAGTCTTGAAATATTACCAAAGAAAAAGAACATCTGGAATATGTTATTTCCAAGGCAACTGTTTTTTTCTCTAAATTTTGACTAAAAGAGAAACAAATTAAAAACCATAAATAAAAAAATAAAATAACAGCAGCAAAGTCAAAGATATAATAAATATAAAAGGAAAGGTACTAAGTATAATAAATAGTACATAAATTAAATAATACTCCATGAAGCACAAGACATTATGAATGAATAACAAAAAAACGAAATCTAAAAGCAAATTCAAAAACCCTAAATTTAAAATTAAATAAAAAGAATAAAATCCAAAACCTTCCATCTCTATATTCCCTCCCTTCTTCCTCGGTTATTGAATTTTCTCTCCATAATCGTCGTCATCATCATCATCACTTTTACCTACAGTTACTTTCGTCGCTATATATATACACAGTTTCGTTTTCGTTTTTTCAATTCACTCTTTTCTATACTCTCGTGTTTCTTTACTACATTGCGCTTTCGTTTTCGTTTTCGGTTTCGGTTTCATGGATTCGCGTGAACCACCGCAGCCTCCTCATCACCCTCACGCTCACCACTTTCAACCACCGTCGAACGTTGTCTTGATGGGACCCAATCCGTTCACCAACACTGCCCCGACTACCATGATGGCCCCTGCCACTGCTCGATTCCCTCTCTTCAACATGAACGCTAACCCTGCTAACCCTGCCAACCCTCCTCCTCATTCTGAGCCTTTCGCTACCACCACTGCCGCCATCACCACCGTCAACACCACTGCCGTCAACGCCATCACCACCGTCAACACCACTACCGTCAACGCCGCCACCACCACCACCACCACTACTGTTCCTCCAACATTGGTGCCATGTGTTGCTGGCTCCTCTGAGTCATTCAAGAGAAAGAGGGGCCGTCCAAGGAAGTATTTCCCTGATGAGAGCACTGTTCTGGGCTTGGGCTCAGGTTCGGGCTCCGGCTCGGGTTCGGGGCAGGCTCTTGCTATGGCCTCTCCTGATTCTTCAACTGCCAAGAAGAGTAAGAGGGGAAGAGGAAGGCCTCGTGGCTCTGTTAAAAAGAAGCTTGGTATGTTAAATTTGTTTCTTTTTTGAATTCGAATTTCGGAAAAGTACATTGTTTTTGTTGATTGTTTTCGTCGTGGTTGTTCATTTTTCAGGGGATGATGGCTCTGTTTTCCGTCCACACGTGATCATGGTGAATCATGGAGAGGTATGCAATTGCATTGTCTTTCTCAATTTTAAATTTTTTGGTTGATTTATGAATTGAAATGCTGATGTAGTTTTTGATGATGTTTAAAAGGTGGTTACTTTATTGTGTTCTTGTTTTCGATTGGTGTTTTCTGAGAGTGGTTCTTTCTTACCAATATGTTATTTTTCTTCTCTTGTTTGTAGGACATTTTTAAAAAAGTTATGGCCTTTAGTCAAGAAAGAGCGGGATCTGATACACAGATGTGCATTGTTTCTGCTGAAGGTTTGATTGGTACTGTTGCTCTTCATCAGGCGGGGAGCATTGTGGTTTTTGAGGTAGTTTTTAGATCCATTTTGATTAGAATCCATTTAACAACTATGTATCTGATTATGAAATAATGTTTTGTTTCTACTGCGTTAATCGGAAGAGATCTGAAATCTGATGAAATATGTGTTGATTTGATGTGCATATATATGTCCTTAAGGTAGCACTTGGCATGTGACAGTGTTATCTTTTTGGATTATGGTCTCCATCCAAAATCTGCCATTAAAATGGTTTATGGATGGAACATGGTGGATATATTAAGCATAGTAGCCTATGGCGACTAGCACAGAATCCACCATGCCATAATGACATTTTGACAACACTGACACTTGAACAAAAGGATTTGGATTGCACGTAATCACAATCCCACCCATTCACGCATGTAGTAAGCACATCAGTTGTCATTGGATTGAGATCGGATGGTGCAGAAACTGAGTAGATTTTGATTTTTCTAAACTCTAAAACACTGAGTTAGAAATACGCACTGTCCAATCTTGATCCAACAATCACCAATGTGCTGACATTGTGAATTCGTCGGATTATGATTGCAGGCAATCCAAATCCTACATTTTACTCTCTTTGGTTCTACTTTGATTGTATTGTTTAGTTCAATTTTTAATATTCACTGCACATACAAACATTCCATATTTTTTACACAGTCCAGTTTTAACAATGTGGGATCCAATGTTGTCAAAATCACAAGTATACTTGTGGGAGTGTACGGGTCTTAAGGATCCTTACCCACATTGCGGGGTTGGAGATTGGAGTGGGATTGCAATCATACTCATGATCACACAATCTTCTCCGATCTCCTTTTAGATGTTTCCTAGGTCAATTAGTGGCTTACCAGTTTGAAATATTGAGTTATGTTACCTTTTCTGCTGGATTTAGATCAATAATGATGTAAATAATGAATATTACATTAATTGTTATGATTTAGATAGTTTTATACATTTATGTGTGTTTGTATGTGCAAGTTCAATTTTATATTTTAGGTAGCGTTTAACAATCTTTAAACTCAGATCTTTCACCTCCTTGTGGTCTTAAGTAGGATCTCAACTCTGACAACAGTGGTGGGATCATACAATTTCTATCATTATTGGCACCATTTAAGCAGATCTACTTTCATAATTACAATTATATTTAGATTCTGAAGTGTGTCACTTGCATTTTATAATGTGTTAGCTTTATTTTTACTAATGCCGCTTTCTATGGTTATTTGGAATAGAAGTCAAATATCACCGGATGGGATCATCTTTAATTTTGTTTGTGTTTTATTTTTCATATTTGACATGCGAAAATGTCAAAATGTTTACTCTAATAGTTTATTTATATAGCTAAATGTGTTTTGGTTTAATTCTCTTCCTATAATCTCTTGTTCCATCACAGGGCCAATTTGAAATTATATCCCTGACAGCCCAGTCAGTGGAATCTGACGACGGAAGTGGCTGTAAAAGAATGAGTAACTTGAAGATATCTGTAGGGGGTCCTGATTCACGCCTTTTGGGAGGTGTAGTTGCTGATAAGCTTGTTGCGGCATCGACTGTAAAGGTATTGCTCTCAAACGTTAAACAATTTACGTTGATTTTTAAACGGCCTAAGATTGAATCATGTAGGCTCTTGGGCGTTGACAGTCTTTTCTGCGTTAAAAATCGATCCAACTCTGCTGCATCAGTTTTATGACTTTTTTAAAAATCATTTGCAGGTCATAATGGGCTGTTTTACTTTGGATGACAAAAAGACTAGCTCAAACAACCAGAAATCTGGGCCGTCCTCAACCCCACCATCCCATTTTGCTGCTTCTGGGACTCCAACTAGCCCTACATCTCAAGGGCCTTCATCTGCGTCCTCTGGTGACCATGAGAATAGTCCTTTTGCTCAGGGACCTGGAATCTACAACAATGTTAGTCAGGATCAAAACATGATGATGTTCCACCACCCTCAAATGTGGGCTCATCAAACTCAGCAGTGAGAGCAAGCGGGCTTTTAGGTTCACCAGTGCAGAAGCAGGCTATTTGCATGGTGATTGTTCAAAGTTGTGGCTGCAGGACTATTAATAAAAATAATTGGGACAGGTTTTAGGGGAGTTTAAAGGGAGTTTATGGTATATGTTTTATATTTATTTTTCTGCTTATTAGGATTTTCAAACATTGTTAGCGAGCTTGGCTTCTGGTTAATGAGCTTATTGCGGTTTTGGATCCGCTTGTGACTTATGTTAGAAATATGAGTTATGCACCCTCTCATTTGAGCTGCATATTTTCAAGTTTCATTCATGGTGACCAATATTTTTATTATTAATATTATTATATATTATATAATGAGATGATGCATGTGAATTGAGTTATGCACCCTCTCATTTGTTCTGTTATCTTTGAATGAACAAATTCATAAAATGAGATTCTATGGTGTGATTGTGAATTGAGTAGTAAATTCATGTTAGAATGTCTATATTAGGCGTGTGATCTAAAATAGATTCTAGCATTTAGTGAATTTAGAATCTATGTTGAGCCTTAAGTTAGTAATTAAATTCTTAGAACGGATCATAAATAAGTAGCATGATTTTTGGTCCATTATTGAATTTTAAAGTAGAAATAAGTATGATCACTTAGTTATATGTTCCTTAATAATTCCATGTTTAAGTAACCTTAGTAATGATAAGTTTTTATAAAGAAAGAAAGGAACAAATAAGGAAAGAAGGGTCAAACCAAACCCTCTCAAGCAAAACTCATATCAAGTTTGTTCAAACCAAAACTATTATATACTAAGAAGGAAGACGAGGTATTCCAATAAATAAAATTATTGAGGAAAAGTCTAAAATTTCCTAAGCTATCAACACATTCGTTATCCTCGTGTTCTTCAATCTAGCTTCGCAATTAAGTCCATTTGTTTGTTAGGTTTAAAAGAACCATGAAATCAGACCTAAAGGCCAACAAAACTAGAAAAAGTATTATCTAAAGCTACAAGTTGGACCAATTCTTCTACACATAAATCTCTATAGCTCAGAATTTATCATACCACTCTCTAAATTATATCTAACATCCTTCGTATTTTCATATTCTCAAAACTGTCTTTGGCTAAATAATGGACCAAATTTCCGTTCAAAATTTTCGGTAGCATTATTGAAATTTTCGGTACTGATCAAAATTTTCGATAGATATTCTAAATTTCTGGTATACGTGTGCTTGGAATGTCTAGAGTATATCAGGTACTTGCGGTGTCTCGGATAACTCTGGTGCCTGAATAGATGAAACATATCTCTTACGAGGAGACAGAGGCGGCAGAGATGCATGAATATGTGACACTCGTCTTCTACGGAAAGAAGGCGTAGAAACTGATGCCTCCACATCAAACAAGATAGAAATAATAAGTACATGTGATGGTTGATTCTTTTTCCTCCGAACTGATGCATGTTCTTTCGTGCCTCTATTTGTCTTTTTTATCAAGCATAATAACTATAAGTAAACCACATAAGCATTATTCATAGGAACACAATCAATTCAAGAAAAAAAAAGCAGACTGATAAATTTCGGAGATGCATTTTCGATTTCTGAGAATCAAAGTGGTAAAAAATTCAAGAGAAATATCTCCAATTTTTTTTGCAACTCGGAGTAGTGTCAATGGCGGAAATGCAGCCTCTCTAAACATCCAAAATAACACATTGATAATTAAAACTACATATCAAACACGTTTCTCATGTAAGTAACACGTATAAATTACATATTACATATCCTAATCCTCAATTTCTACAAATGTATATAGAAAATAAAAAAAAAGGTTAGAAAAATAAAAAGCTTACAAATTGTGAGTTTAATTCGGTGTTGAGTGAGCTCTTTAATCAACTTGATGTTTATGGAAGAAACTTTGAAGTTTGTTGAATGATTTTGAGAGAATGTGAGTTGAGAGAGTTTGAAAATTTTGAGATGTTTAGAGAGTGTATTTTTAGAAGTGAGGAAGGAGAGGGGTCTGACGCCCTTTTTGATTAAACAACGTTCGAAGATTTATCTTCGAAATGTACACGAAGATGCATTTTTGTTATTTTTTTTTACATAGCCTTAAGGCCTAATTCAAGAATGTATGAGGCTGTGGTGCATCTAGAGATACATCTCTGAATGACAGAAGTATTATTGTTTTTTTTACGAGAGCGAAGAAGTAATATATAAGGTGCATTAGGTAATTCCCAAATAATTGTGCAATATGTGAAAGAATGCCCTTTTTGCTATAGCTTAATCAACATAAAATGTGAGGCCTTGTGTTGTAGGACGCATTGTGTAACACCCTAAATCCCAAATCGGGAAATAATGCAAATATAAAACAACTACACATTTAGAATGTCACTCAAACGCAACATAAACCTGCTCTGTAACACGATTTAGATAAAACATTTCAAATTTAAACACTTGTCATCACATGCTCGCCTTTAAACAGGCTTATCGCCGCGGAAATAAATCAATTGGAAAATAACTCAACAACCAAATAAGTCTTATAACGTAAAACATGGTTTTGGCAAAATGCCTTCAACATCAACAACATTGCAATTAATAACAAATAATACAACAAATCATTCGCCAACCCAGTGTTACAAATTAGAGCAACAAAATCTAAATATCGCATAAAAACGGGAAAAGAAGAATAACCTCAACGCCATCCTTTCGCTTCTAAGCAGCTACTAAATAACATGCTCGTCTGTACCCTAAGAAGAAGCATAAAACCGCACAAACAACAAAGACGTGAAAATACGCTCATAGTATATAATAGTGCAAAAGTATGTTAACCTATTTAGAGAGCATAACACACACTAAGTTACCTGAGTAGTACAAATGTTTCTGGTGGCCTTGTCCCTACAGATATGTTGCTCCCTTGTTTGCATAGCCATCCTCAAAGTTTGATTTCTAGAAGAATCAACACTAACATAGATGATTCGTCCAAGAATCATCCTTGAGACAAATACATTGCATACAAACATATTTCTAGAAGTAACAACAATAGGGTCTGGATGTTCACGATGCACAAATAGAATAACATTACTATTAACCATATCATCAACAACATTACTCATAGAGATATCCTTAGAAAAGAATGTTTGCAACATTGAGAGATTCATACCATACTCGAATATTTTGGTCCTCAACTCAGCCAAATTATAATTTCGCTCACAACAAATTAGTTTTATATCTGAGAGGAGACAAGAGAAAATTACCTGCAAATTTAGCTACTTTTTAGTATCCAAAATATTGGCAACACATATCCAAGTGAAAGCTTTTCAATTATCAAAAAAGGGGAGACATAAGTTGCATGTCTCTGCAATCATTTTGTTGCTTGTCTTTTAAGATTTATTTCGACTTTAGTTTATATCATTGAGTCTCATATTCAATTGCACATTCAAGGATTAAGTTTTGGAATCGTATTTTAGCATGCATAATTCAAATTGTTTGTGTTTGAGTATGAATAACATGTTTTAATCCAATTAGTCGAGTTTTTGGAACAAGAACTATGTTTGAGATTGGTTAAAGTCATGACATAAGAAGGACCTAAAATCATCTTTAAAAACTTTAAAAATTGAGATTTTAGGCGTGTGATTCGAATCACACATCCTATGAATCGATTCAAATCAAACAGAGGGAAAACAAGAATTATTATGAGGCTGTGAGTTAAATCATAATTTACACATGATTCGAATCACGTAACTCTAGGGCTCAAATCACAAGTTACACATGAGTCGAATAATAAAACTCTTGTCAACCCCTGCCTTGTTTGCATTGACACATGGCTGATTCACGATTCGAACCACAACTTGCCTGCGCCGAATCACATTATACATTTGACTCGAATCATATCAAAACAAGTTTCTTATAAAGTGTATATCTTATTCCATATTACTTTGCCAATTGACTCAAATCACTCAAGTGTTCGTGACTCGAACCATACATGATTTTTCATTATTTTTATGCTTCATCTCTGTTATACCCTAAATTTACCCCATCCCTTTAAAGTTTTTCATATGCATATCTAATCATTTGTATGGCCACATGCATCATAATTTATATTTTAATTTTCATTTGGTGATCATTTAAGTTGAGGCTTTTGGATTTTCATTTGAGGTCTAATTGAAATTATTGGTAGTTTGAAGTCATGAAAGTATGGTTCATACATACACTTTGTGGATCTTTAAAAATCTCTCTTTTTTTCATAATATGTCTTTTACTTTAAGATATTTTGCTAAAGGAACTAATAATTTCAAATTCATATGTCCAAATAAAGTCATGTTAAACCTCATGCTAAAGGTTTGAATTCAAAAGATATTACATTCATTTTAAAAGAGTCAAATATTATTAACATTGATTGCATCATAAAAAGAATTCATAAAGAAGTTACAAAATTGACTTTTTTTTTTTGCATTATTTTGAATTTTGTACATTTTGAGTTTTGAACATAAACCAAATATTTACAAGTTTAAACCTAATGCCATAAACCTAAAACCTACACTACTAAGACCTATTCTTTAATGCGAGATAATTTACTAATACTAATAAGGGGAGGGTCTATAGCAAGCATAGTTTTTTTACAGTGCAATAAAGTTACATAGTGTCTATTTTTTGTTAATATAAGGGGCATTTTCATGGGTTTGCCTTGGTATCGTGTTCATACCGCTGTATTAAATGATCCCGACCGTTTACTTTTTGTCCATATAATGCATACAACTCTGGTTGCTGGTTGGGCCGGTTCGGTGGCTCTATATGAATTAGCAGTTTTTGATCCCTCTGACCCTGTTCTTGACCCAATGTGGAGACAGGGTATGTTCGTTATACCCTTCATGACTCGTTTAGGAATAACCAATTCGTGGGGTGGTTGAAATATTACAGGAGGCACTATAACAAATTCAGGTATTTGGAGTTACGAAGGTGTGGCCGCGACACATATTATCTTCAAAACTCGGTTTTTTTCATCGTCAAGCTATCTTCTACTTTGCTCCAT